GAAACTTCCAACATTGGTGTAGAATATCATTTCCATATTTCTATTATGCTAATAATAGGAATGTTAATCGCAAGTCTTATCTCTATAAACATTTTCAATTACTGTAAGATACATAAAACAAATTAGTTAATAGAGGTATTAAAAGTTTTATGCAACAGTCATGATATAATATGTTAGATCCTATTAGGTACATTTATAAAACCTGCAGTCTCCTAAAAAATTTATGACCAATGATGAAGTAATCTTTCTAGATTTGTGTCCACAATGTCTTTCAAAGAGTTAAAACTGCAAGCAGAGATTGGCCTTTTGCAACTTCAGTTCAAGTCTAAAATTCGATTTTTTCTACTCAAAATAAAAACGAGAGTCCATAGAATGAATATATTGGATCATCTGAAGTCTGTGTCTATACTGGATCTCTGTTTAATACTTTTTTCAATGACAAAATTGCCCCTTTTTACGCAGTAGATAATCTACAAACATCAGTAATTCTGTCAAAAAAAAAGGAAAACAGATTAGGTCTATAATAAATATATACATACAAAATAACAGTACAAGAAACAAACATCTTTATATTCGACATAAATAGAACAAATATTCTGAATAAATATAAACTAGTTCTCTATTGTATATGTCCTTTGTAATAGTTTTATATAAACTGTGTGTTTGCTAAGTGAATCAAGTAGAGGTAGTGTTCTACATCTTTAAGTTCTGCATTTGGTTTTCTATTTGGCTACAGTGGTTTTAGAAACCTAGAAGAAAACTGTATTACAATTAAACACCCTCTTCTTTTTCTACATTAATATTTATTTCTATTGTAATCTTGTCACTCTAGTCTGTCTTGACATTCTACCTGGCTGTCATTCAGAATTTGCTGCTGCTACTTTAGAGGTAATCGTGCAAATACCACAGTTCTCGAGGACTTCAATCGTATATTGATGAAGGTGTCTTGCATCTAAACGACAAATGGTGTGGTTTAGCAGACTGGTCACTTAAATCCTTTCTCTTTATGTAACTTTTCCTTTATTTAGTCTGGATCCTTATGTATATAAAATTAAATGGTTGAGTTCACATGAATAAAATATTCATAAACAATTTCAAGGGTCACCAAGCTGTATGTAGTAAAACACGAGTAATGACAATAAAACATATTTATTACAGTAATGAATATCTAATACAGCTGATTTCTATGCCGCTTGTGAGATAATGATTTCAAACATTTACATGCTTATAAGACAAAACCTTATTTCCTTAAACTGCTGATGTTGCTTATGCCTATTTCTACACAAATGTAAATCGGCCTGCTCTATCTTGCACGGCTATCCTGTAATGTGCCCATCTTTGAGCAGCTTCTGGTACATCTAGGGACCGCTTTGCCATCGGAGAGTTACTATTGTGATGCCATTGGAGAGCTACTATTGTGGTGCCATCAAAAGGTTCCTGTTGTGATGCCTTCAGAGGGCTACTGTTGTGGGACCATCAAGGGGCTAATATTGTGGTGCCATCAGAGCGCTACTGTTGTGGGGCCATCAGAGGGTTACTGTTGTGGTGCCATCAGAGAGCTACTGTTGTGGGACCATCAAGGGGATAATATTGTAGGGCCATCAGGAGGTTACTATTGTGGTGCCATCAAAGGGCGACATTGTGCTGCCATCAGAGGGCTACTATTGTGGTGCCATCAGAGGGCTACCATTGTGGTGCCATCAGAGGGCTACCATTGTGGGGCCATCAGGGGGCTACTGTTCAATCGTTCAACTGGGGAATTTGAGTTAGAATGATACGTGTAGTGAAATGTAAATCAATTTTGCACAATGCACAAGCAATGTATACCAGGTGTGCCAGGCAGTGATTATCCGACTTTTCAGGCCTCTGTATAAGTTTGAGAATTGCAATATCTGGCTTATTTATTTGTACTATGGCCAAAAGTTTATCTATTAGCAAAATTACTATTCCTACCATTACTATTTACTGTAAAAAAACTATGTGGTGATGCCTAGACCAATACTGAATATAGACTGTGCTAAACCTTGAACAACCTTAAAGTCCTGCTCCATTTCAGGTTAATTTCGAGATACTTTTTATTATATTTCTCTGTAGGCTTTTATAAAAGTTTGAGCTAATTTGGAATGCTTTTAATTCAATTATGTCTAAGTATTTACCAACATTTGTCAAGCTAATAACTTGTGGTGTCATCAGAGGGCTACTGTTGTGATACCATCAGGGGGGCTACTATTGTGGTGCCATCAGAGAGCTGCTGTTGTGATGCCATCAGGGGGCTACTATTGTGGTGTTATCAGAGGGCTACTGTTGGAGGGCCATCATGGGACACTGTTGTGGTGTCATCAGAGGGCTACTATCGTGGTACCAAATTGTTATTTAAGATTGGTTATCTCCATATATAACTTTTATTTGCCTGCCAGTTAGTTAAATTAGAATTCAAATGGTGTTGAACTTATACTGTTGATTCGTCAGGGTGTTTGAGCTGTTGCTATGGGTATCTTCCTTAACTCTATAGTGGGCGTTTAGTAAAATCTCTATCACTTGGAACGTACCTCAAATTTTGGCAGTAAGTTTTGTCTCCTTTTGTTATTGTTAGACATCGTACACAAAACTCACTATTATCCCACTTCTGATGTAGTGAAACACGAGTATTGACAATGAAACACGTTTATTAACTTTAATGAATATTATATATTTTGAAATAATAACCGCTCAGAGTTCTGGAAGTCTTAGTCCGAAATCGTAGATATGGAATAAGCTTTTTCTAAAAATGGTTTAGATAAGTGCAAACAGTTTTTTCTCCTAGGGAAAGGATGGCAAATGTGTTATTGTTAATTTAATTTCGTATATTTGAAAAATCACCAAGTAGTGAGATTTGGAGTTATAGATATTCTATAACTTTGCGGCTACTTGTAAGGCCTTTTAATGTTATAGCTAAGCAAGTATGTTTGGACGTTTTTATGTTACCATTATGGGTCATATAAATCAAATAATATGATATAGAATTGACGAAACGTTTGAAATTGCTCAGTTTCGATGTTTGCGAGAGTAACCTCCAATAACAAGACACAAAATCCGATAAGAGTTGGTGGTATTAAGTATTCATCCTGTATTATTTGCCGACTGCTTAAATTGTCCGGTAATTTTAATTTGTTAATGTTCAATATTTCTTTCCCCAAAATTGATGCTGCTGCTTGTAAAGTGAAAGAAAACAAAAAAATTCACTCTTATAGCATGTGTATATCATTAGCAAGAAGGAAGTCCTGAGTACTGTAATATGTCTTATCTACGAGGAAAATTTTTAGTCTACAATTTATCTGTTGGTAGATTTCTCATGTTTTCTGGAATAATATTCCATAGGCGCTTCAGATTATATGGTGCATTTCTCTGGATATAAGATAACCTAGTCATATCCAAGTTCAAGTCTTTCTTATTTCGGGTATCATATTCATGTTGAGATAGTAAGGTCTCAAAGAAATTCTGAAAATTGTTCTTAACAAAGATACTTCTCATACATCTCTTGCATTAATAGAATACGATTTACGTGTATGGAGTTTCCCCAGATAACAATGCCATAACTTATCTTTGATTGTACATATGCGTGATAGGCAATTAAGGCCGTTTTCTGATCAACATACACCTCTGAACCAGCTGTAAATTTCACATTATATGTTACCTCAAGTAATCGTTTGATTTCGATTCCATTGTATCAGCTGCGTCTTCTACGGATTCAACAATAACCCATTTGTCAGAAACCAATTATTTAGATGTTCTATTGTACTAATAATTCTATTTCTCGTTTCTAAAATACTACTTTCCTTGAAGATTATAGTTGGTCATCAGCATACATTACTATCCTATCATTTATTCATTTATTAAATTTTGGATTTCATTTGTGTAAATAATGTATAGTAATGGACCCAATATGGATCCTTGAGGTACTCCCGTTTTGATTCCGATCAAATCCGATTTAACTCATTGGTTGTTTTCATTAAAATCCACTGTCCTTTGCTTTTTTCCTGATAAATATTATTTAAACAGCTAGCTGTAAAGGTACTTACTAACTAGTTTTTACTGGAATTACATTTGATTGACTTAACCTTGTCCGGGGCAGCTTTCTGAGACCGTGTAAACGGTCTGGTCACTCCCTCAGCTGGCTTGTACTTCTTGTATTTTGTTCGCTTTTTAGTCACACCTTTATTCTGCGTCTCCGGTTTATTTTTTTATGGATTGGGATTGGTCAAGAATTCCTGATTCAGGCATGATGTCTTTTAGTTTTTTAAAATAATCAATAACAATGTATCTGTTTAATTTAGCAGCTCTAGCTGCATTCATATGCCGTGCCTCTTTTTCAACGAAGGAACATACAGATCGTCTAAGACCCTTATAGGTTATGGCAATGCCAACATTGGCTAATCTTATTATTCTATCCCGAAGGTTATTTCCTTGGTCTACACTTAGTATACACGGGCGTCCAATCTTTTTTGTAGCATCTCTGGTAGCCAAATGATTGCGTAAAGTTCTTCTTGGAATCCCGAACGTAGTACTTGCTGTTCTAACTGCCATACCATTCCGAACAGCTTCCATTGCTTACTTCAAATGGTCTTCCGTCCATAATGCCCTTTTTCTGGGCATTTTGTATTGTCCAATGTAATCTAGCTTAATTTTTGCAGATATTGTGTTTCCATCGGTTTTTCCTTTTTTCAATATATTGATCGTTCCCATGCCTCGATGTCATCGAAGTGTTCTCTTATGGGAAGGCCTTCTGGGATGGTTCCATTTTTATTATCTACAATAGGAACAGAAATACAGAAATAAATGAAGATGATTGCGATCAGTTTGTAATGTCGCAATAGGTATTTATTATTAAAACAAGTTAGGAGATATATGATAACAATTGTTATAAGTATTTTGAACTTTAAAATTATTTCTGATTGGAACCGGATAAGCATAAAAAAATATTTGACATCTAATATTTAAATATGGTATAAAAGCATAATGTTACATCTGAATCGTTTATATCACAAGGTTAACCACCGTGAGTGTTAGTGTTGCCTAAAAGAAAAGCAATGAAGACGGTTTTATTAATATGTTTAATCCTGTACTTCGGTGGTACTGACTGTAAGACTCGTTCTCGTTTTTTAAAACATAATCCTCCACCGCCAAAACGACCTCTAAAAAGCAGTGTTCATGTATCACAATCATACTTTACTCAAAAGCTCGATCACGAATCGAACGATGAGACTACTTGGTCGCAGGTATGTAATTTTGAAAGAATATGTAATTAATAATACTAATATAACAATTTTTATATTTTATACATGGACAAATTGGATCATTTTGTGGATCAATTGCGAAAAAAATTTGCTCGCAATTTTCATCTGCACCAGAAATTTGAAGAATGTTATCACAATAGATTATTTCTATTTTTGGAAGTTATTTATTGCTAATTTCTAATTTCACCTCCGTTTATATTGACGTCGCTAAAGTCAATTTTTTCTTCATAAGACCGCACTAAAAAAAATTTATAAAGTCTCGGTTGCAACAATGTCTACAAATGGGATGTATTCAGCGTTGAAGATATTTTTAAGATTTCGTATTGTTCTTTTGAAAAATATAAATTTGTTCTGTTTTCAGAAATACTTCGTAAATACCGAATATTTTAATACAGCAGTTAATAATGTCGTTTTTCTAATGCTTGGAGGAGAGGGTGAAGCTTATGATAGTTGGATGACATATGGAACTTGGGTAGTCAACGCCCAAAAATATGGTGCATTGCTGTTTCAATTGGAGCATAGATTCTATGGAGAAAGTCAGCCATTCTCGTGAGCACCAATTAATATATTACACACTGCAAAAAAATCGGTGTGAGTGAAAGCAATAAAGATTGGGAGTGAATCCATTGAGTACATTTTCACTCAATATTTGGCATTTTGATCAATTTACTCGTTTGTGGTTATAATCAAAGTAAAACTGAGTACCTTCACTCAAATATAGGTACTCCTTAAATAAATTCATCACGTAAACTCGTATTTGGTGCACTTGTACCTAAATCGGAATAAATGTCCTCATTACTGAGTGATCCCACCCTTTCCATATCCAGATACATTGTATTTGTTCCCATCGTTCAATTAGGTTATCTCGTGACCGTGGCGTCATCCACTCAAACATTATGGCATATGGTGTGCTTTGGAGTTGGACAAGTATCGGTTTATCTGGTTATTCTAGTAAAAATTGATAGTTAGCAGTAACTTGGATTTGAGTAAAACTCACTCATTTCTGATGCAATAGTTTCACTCAGTTCAGTTGTACTCATACTAATAGAGCGAAAATTTCTACTATCTTCAAATTCATTAATTTCTAGTTCTGTTTTTAAATTATTAATGGACACAAGAAACAGTAGCGGTCCCAAATGGGTGCCTTGGGGTTCTCAAGATGTTAAACTATAGAAGTCTTGACACTAGAGTGCTTTATGTAAACTTGGCCCAATATGACGTACAAATTTAGTTCAAATATCTCTATTATTTCAGAGAATATTTACAGTAAAGCTGATTCAAACAAATTCAAAAAAAATTTCCAAAATAAAAGTAATGTAAAATGAAATCAAACAAAAAAAAAATATATAATATATAGCATATTTGCTTAAGGATAGGAATATTTTTCCCGTTTCTAGAAATGCTGGTACCTACTTTGGTTACAGCGTCAAACAGTGAAATATGTATACCAAATATCTTCAAATCGGAAAAAGCGTTTGAAAGACATTTGAAAAACTTATTTTTTACCAACTCCCTCTGGTGGCCAACTTGTAACAATCCGTAGTAGGTGTATGTAACCTTTGCAACGCACAATCTGACTATATCTTGGCTAGGTATATCAGTGACCTACTTCATTTATTGAGCACTTCAAAGGGGACAATAAAACATAATTTCACCAATTGAGATAAATATCTCACGAGACAATAATTTATAAATATTACAGAATGGTTCTCATATAGGTACTTATATATAGATATAGATACTGATTATATGTTAAATACCTACAGGCAAGTTATTTTTTTGATAAATAATGTAACGAGAAGTTTTTTTAATTTATCCGTCGTGCAATTTGCAAATTAGATTGTTGTTAATTTCTCGAAAAGGGAATTAATAAATTATCGTTTACACTTTAATTGACACGTGTGACCTTAGATATGTTGTAGGTTCAGAGAATGATTTCAGACACTTATTGTCTCACGTAACTTGTAATCCGGGGTTCGGTTGTACAGGGTGTTACACTCTCACTCAACGGAACACTTTTAGGAAGAACAACACCAGAACTTGCTAGGAAGGTATTTAATAACAGTATGAAAATTAAAACAAATAAAACAACGATAACGCAACTGATTCAAACAGTATCACTGACTACTTTGTACGCGACAAAGTGATATCCGAGATTCAGGGAATCGCGGATAAATAAGTTAAAATAGACTGCACAGTGTGAGAACCCAAGGGAAACTGACATTTTCGGAGTCTCCCTGGATTTGGACACTTCACTGCGAACTCGCACATGTCGAGTTCGTAGTTTTGTCTTCGTCTTATCTTTCTTACATGCCAATCCAGACCTTGTCAATTCGACCCCCTCCCGAATCCCAGAAACTGAACAAATTGAATTTACATTTACCCTTCCATAGCTAATTTTACATCAAGGCGATCTCACAGACCAATTTCAAAATATACGGCTTTTAAAAAAAATATATTTTATTATGGGCAAATAAGTTTTATTATTATTATTATTATTATTATTATTATTATAAAATGTTTTATTTCAGCGATCTGAGTACTGAAAATTTGCGCTATCTCTCAACTGCGCAAGCGTTGGCCGATGCCGCAAACTTTATCAAAGCCATGAACCAACAGTACTCTCTGCCGTCCGACGTTAAATGGATCGTATTTGGTGGTTCTTATGCCGGTTCCCTAGCTGCTTGGTTGAGACTAAAATATCCCGATTTGGTGCAAGGAGCCGTGTCGACTAGTGGTCCTATTTTGGCAAAACTGGATTTTAATGGTAAACAGTTTAAGTAAACTCGTATATCGTTAGCTCACATATTTGAGCTAAGTGTGTCCCATAGTATTTTGATCCGCTGAATCCGATTCTAGTCATAATTCCGCATCAGTTCGTTTTTGGACTAACATTAGAAAGCAGTTTTCGAACGATTTTGAACGCAAAAGCTCACAATTATATTACATTACAGTATAATACAGTATTAGAAAAAAACAATTGGAAATCTTAAAGAAAAATATTTTTTTCAATGGAACACCCTATATATTAGTGCATACTTAGCTTCGTTTAATTTTTCTGTTTTCAAAAATATATATGTTACTGCTTGATTCAGAACTTTTCGACATTTCAGTGTAAAACTATTTTTGAAAAAACGGAAATTTATGTCTGCCGGATCGCAGTGGCTATGGACGAGGCACGCAGAACAAACAAATGACTTTGATTTCCTATAACAAACTATTTTAACAAAGAAATAATGTTTAGTGAGAATTGATCGTAAATTTCGTTTTGTTCCGTTTCAAAAATGCCTATAATATATTAAAATTACCAGAATCACATCAAATTCCGCATTGCTGCTCTGCACTGCTAGGCAAGTTGTCAACGGCTGAGATTTATTACCCAGTCGCCCAGTTCGGCTGTCTGTATACGCCGTTTGTCCGCGCGTGCATTCTTCAACTGGGCGTGTACATTTCTACCACCTCCACGTTTAGTTCAACCAGACCTGTATATGGGTATGGCTAAATAAATATGGGAACAAGTTTTTCAAATACTTCAATGCCGAGTTGCTGCATCAGCGACTGAACCTGGTACATACTGCCAACGTCTTCTTCAATTGAGATCGGAAAGACTATACCAATTTTGCTGCATTGCAATATGAATTTCATATTGCAAAAGCATTATTGCGGCTATAGCTCATGAAACATGCCAAATTATATGGGCTTGTTTAAACGAAACTGAAATTCTCCAACCAACGACACAGCAATGGCTAGATATAGCAGATAATTTTTACGTAAAAATCAATTTCCCAAACTGCGTAGGAACCGTAGATGGCAAACACATAAAACCCGCTTAAATCTGGATCTCAGTATTTTAATTATTAAAAATATTCTTCCGTTGTCTTAATGGCTATCACTGATGAAAACTTATGCTTCGTAGCAATTGAGGTAGGAGGTTATGGAAAAGGTGATTCGACTGTCTTTAGAGACAGTCCATTAGATAAAAAGTTATATTCTGGCCAGCTGAATTTGCCATCACCTAGTTACTTGAAGTCCCAACCCCAACCCTTTGTATCTTAAGGCTATAACCACGTCAACTTAATCCTTGTTGATGAGTTTTTAGTTACAGATTATCAAGATCTAGGTGTGCATTTGAACTTCTCGCTAACAAGTCTTGCTTGCAAATTGTTGTTTCTCAAACTCTGACATGTTTTCGCAATTATCATACGTCCCGTTACCAATGATTTTTCTTTTACGATTTTATCCCAAAGAGAAGTATTTTCTTTTAATTGAATTAGTTTGTCCCGACATGTCACAACAAGTTGCGACATCATCCGGCAGGTGCATTAGAACGGTACAAGGGTGAACGCTGCCATTTAAATCTGTTTTCATCAACCTGTGCTGCCGGTCGGGTTACACCACTCCCGTCAAAACTGAGGTTCTGGTAGATTTGGTAGGAACTACGCCATGTATGAGCTTTTTGAAAGATAAATGAATTGTTTTTGAAACATGAGCGAATTTCGAACAGCGACATCCAAGTTCATTTAACTGTTCGATTGATTGTTGATTGACCAATTCCTAATAAAGTAGCCAGATAGCGCTGATAGAGTTACCGCTTTCACTGTTTCATTTGCTCTTAAATTGCTTGGATGATTCTACTAATCGTATTGGAAGCGTTTCATTCACTCATTGACATTAATTTAAAACAAAAATCACTAACACAACTGAATTTATTGCCTTTTACAGGAACAATGAGAAGTTCTTGCTGATGCGTTAATTTTGTCCAGGAGTTTATAAGAAAAATATTGGTCTTCATTTATTATTTTTGTTTTTCAGAGTATTTCCAGGTAGTCATTGACGATTTGGCTGCTAGCAGTCAAGAATGTGTGAGCAGTCTTACAACCGCCATGAGTCAAGTCGACGAATTATTATATAATCCTGGTACAGACGAATCCCTTACAAGCATATTTAACTTATGCGAGCCCATTGAAGATTTTGACGTAGATGGTTTAGACGTTGAAAATTTCTATGTCAGCTTAGCATACGTTTTCGCTTCAATAGCGCAGTATAATGGATTTGGCAACTATACTATTGACGATATGTGTAACATATTGACCGATCAAAGTGTTGGAAAAGAAATAGTTCGTCTGGCTAATGTCGCTAAACTGGGATACGGATCAGGATGTATAAGTTACAATATTGCGGGCAGCGTAGCGTATTTACAGAATACTGAAATAAGCGGAGATGGTAAGCAGTATTGCTAGAAGCTTTCTTTAAAAAGATCCATTCGTGAAATATTAAGTAACCATTAAGTTAAATATAAATAATATTACGTAGAAACAAAAGCAAGAGTAATTATTGCAGATCGTCAGTGGACATATCAAACTTGTGCCGAATATGGATGGTTCATGACAACAAACAGGGACGATAAAATATTCGGAAAAGGATGCTCAGTAGACGTATATACAAATCTGTGTTCAGAGGTATTTGGACAATCGTTTAGCGAGTCTTTTATCAGTGCTCAAATCAATCAAACGAACGCAAATTATGGTGGACTTGGTATCACAGTCTCAAACGTGGTTTATGTTCACGGCTCTCTAGATCCTTGGCACGCTGTCGGACTTACACAAACTACTAACCCCGATTCACCTGTCATATATATTGAGGGTAAGAATTTCAAAAAGAAATATAAAGATGAGTAGTTGCCTAGTGAGGATGTAGTCGTTACTGTACTATATCAGTATACCTCTTGTTAGAAAGGAATATAGTATTTAAATATCAAATTAATTTTCAGGGACCGCTCATTGTGCTGATATGTATGAAACTTTCGAGGGCGAATTGCCACAACTTACCGCAGCTAAAGATGAAATCTCTAGACTGATTGGAGTGTGGTTAGGCCTCAGTTAATTATATTTGGCTGATCATTTGCCCTGTTCATTATGAAAATGTATATATACAAATATATTCCTGATGAAAAATACATAAGGTCGTATATAATTTTCAATATATTTCCCACATAGATAAATAATCGATTTATTTAAAAAAGCCTGGCAATTTAATAGATTTAAAATGTCCACAGACATCAGGTTACCTAAAAATCCAGAAAGAAACAAAAAAAGTTTTACTGAAATTGAAACAGTCATGAATAAAAAGTTTGATGTTAGACTTAGAAACTCTGATTACCTATACCTTATCCTTATACTAATAGTGATTTCGCTTCCCCGTACGCCCAGCATTTATGGTATGACGTAGGTTTTCCATTATTCTTGGAGATTGAACCTCGAGTGCTTCAACCTTTGGATGGAAATAAATTTGGTTAAATTAATACAAGAGATTTTTATATATACATATATTATTTGTCATGGTAACTTCTACTTTATTGGATATTTAAAATTAGAAACAGAGTATTGAAGTTGTTTTTATGTTTCACAGTGCAAGGAATAGAAAATATTTTCATTCATCTTTCCAAACTTGTTGCATACAATTCAGTTGATTGGAAACAGATGTCTCACACTTCCATATTTTAATAAGTTATATTGGAATTAAATTATTGATCTTTCCAAATTTGTTGGATTTATAGTAATGATGGGCAGAATCGAGTATTCTTAAGAATCAAGTACTTGGTTCTCGGATACTTTTACTAGATTATATTTTAAAGAATTTTACTGTCATTTTAACTAAAAGTTTTCCTTAAGTTTAGGATCTGCGGGGGCGTACCCACACTCAGAACTCTTAGGCCTGATTGAATGAAATCTGAAGATTCAATTTTGGACGACTTTCTCAAACATTTCACATGGTATATTTTCAATTGTTGGTAGAATATTCAAATTAAGGTCAGGTATTGTTTGTTATTTATTTCTGTAAACCAAAGATTTCATGTAACCCCATAGAAAAAAGTCCAATGGGGTGAGATCACATGGTCTTGGTGACCAGTTGGCATCATCATTCTTGAAATAATCTGGCGAGGGAACTGTTGTTGGTACCATCTCGTTAAAAAAAAAAACATCGTCTTTGTCACCATCTATCAGTTTAGGCGGAAGATATTCTGTCAGCATATCCCTGTAAGAATCCTCATTAACAGTATTACGATTTCCATCATCATCCTCAAAAAAAATAAGGTCCTATAACGGCTTGACTCCAAAAAGCACACCATATCTTCTAAGGAGAAAGGAGCACCTAATGAATCGCTTGAGGATTTTCGTCAGACCAAATTCTGCAATCATTTTTGAGCCATAAATGTGCTTCATGGAAGAAAGTATTTTTTCCTCAAATTGTGAATTGAGCTGTAACTGTTCGCCCCAAGCTCAATTTCTGAAACTACTTAAAATTTAATTTAAATAATTGTCTAACATTTTCTCTTGGTTTGCTTTTACACTTATTATATATTGTCATATTTTAAATTAATTCGCTGTAACTGGTTTAATTAATTATTAATGTTTTTTTTTGTGATTAGATTTTATACGCTTTATGTTAAACCCAAATGTGTTCAAGCCCCTAGGAAATAAATATATATTCTAACTAGGTTGCTGAAAAATTACATGATACAATTTTTTTATTATGGATATCCTAGGCCGCAGTGCGAAGACTGGTTAGAGCTAATTCGAGAAAAGTATCGGAAACTAGAAGAGGAGCCTCAGTATTGGGAGTGCCGAGCTGATATCGAACAACATCAGTAATGCTGTCCAGTGTTATCGAACCGCCATTGTTCAGGGAGCAGAGGTACAATACAATTTGTTTAAAAGAAATTAAAGGTATACATCGCCAGTGATGAATACGATGCAAAAACCCTTTTATTTTTTGCTGTTTAAGCAATAATTCACACGAGATAAATTGCCGTTCAACATCTTTCGGCTTGTTTAAATGAACTCGGTATGATTCCAAAGCAAGGAAATTGGGTGCCATATGAATTGAAGCCGAGAGATGTTGAACGGCAATTTATCTCGTGTGAACAATTGCTTCAACAACAAAAAATAAAGGTTTTCTTGCATCGTGTTCATGTATACCTTTAATTTCATTAAAAAAAATTGTATTGTACCTCTGCTCCCTGAACAATGGCGGTTTGATAACACTGGACAGCATTACTGATGTTACCTCTGGATTGTTCGATAACAGCTCGGCACTCCCAACACTGAGTCTCCTCTTCTAATTTCTGATACTTTTCTTGAATTAGTTCCAACCACTCTTCGCACTACGGCCTAGGATATTCATAAATAATAAAAAAAAGTATCATGTAATTTTTCAGCAACCTAGTAGCGCAGAATATATTTTTATTTCCTAGGGGCTTGAACACATTTGGGTTTAACATAAAGCGTATAAAATGTAATCACAAAAAAAACATTAATAATTAAACCAGTTAAAGCGAATTAATTTAAAATCTTACAATATATATTAAATGTGTAGAAGCAAACAAAGAGAAAATGTTAGACAATTATTTAAATTAAATTTCAAGTAGTTTTAGAAATTGAGCTTGGGGCAAACAGTTACAGCTTAATTCACAATTTAAACAAAAAATATTTTTTTCCCGTGAAGCACATTTATGGCTCAAATATGATTGCAGAATTTGGTCTGATGAAAATCCTCAAGTGATTCATTAGGTACTCCTTTATCCTCAGAAGGTATGGTGTAGTTTTTGGGGTCAAGTCGTTATAGGACCTTATTTTTGTGAGGATGATGATGGAAATCGTAATACTGTTAATGAAGATTCTTACAGGGATATGCTAACAGAATATCTTCCGCCTAAACTGATAAATGTTGACATAGACAATGTTTTTTTTAACGAGATGGTGCCACTTGTCACACATCTCGTCACCCAATTGATTTATTTCAACAACAGTTCCCTCGCTAGGTTATTTCGAGAATGTTGATGTCAACTGGCCACCAAGATCATGTGATCTCACCCCATTGAACTTTTTTCTATGGGGTTATGTGAAATCTTTGGTTTAGAGAAATAAATCACAAACAATACCTGACAAATTTGAATATTCTACCAACAATTGAAAATATACCACGTGAAATGTATGAGTAAGTCGTCCAGAATTGGATCTTCAGAATTCATTCAATCAGGCCTTGTAGTTCTGACAGTGGGTACGTCCCTGCAGAGCCTAGACTGAAGGAAAACTTTTAGTTAAAATGACAGGAAAATTCTTTAAAATATAATCTAGTAAAAGTAGTGAAATCTATTTCCAATCAACTGAATTGTATGCAAGTTTGGAAAGATGAATGAAAATATCTTCTATTCCTTGTACTGTGAAGCATAAGCAACTCCAATACTCAATTTCTAATTTTAAATATCCAATAAAGTAGAAGTTGCCATGACAAATAATTGTATATATATATATATCGCCACGATAGCGCAGTCGGTCGAGAGTGCGGTGGCAAGCATTTCTCGGCTAGGCTGCCTACTCTGGTCCGGGTTCGATCCCCGGTGTCGGCACTGGCAATGTCGATGGATAATGGGTGTTTGTCCGCGTTTTTTGAAGTGTAGCTCCCGTCCGCACAAGCCTTTGGCTTTTGAATTTGGGGGTTGTCTCATTTCTGTGGTGTGTTTTTTTTTATATATGTATATACAAAAACTTACATCTTGTATTAATTTAAGTAAATGTTCCAAAGCCGCTTTAGCAATACCTCGGTATTTCCGTCATTCAATACCTATGCATATTTTCAGCCACGAAAATCGAATAATTCCAAATATTTCAAATTCTCACCACCAAGAACGGCGGTGACAACATTTTTATCATTAAGGCGATGTTTCGCATTGTATTAGCTATGATCCTGTCCAAATTTGGTTAATGCAACTCTCGGTTTCGAGAATACAATACCTACGTATGTTTTCAGCCACGAAAATTAAATAATTCCAAATATTTAGAATTTTCACCACCAAGAACGGCAGTGACAACATTTTTAACATTAAAGCGATGTTTCGCATTGTATTAGCTGATCCTGTCCAAATTTTGTTAGAGCAACTCTCTCGGTCTTGAGAATTGAATACCTATATATGTTTTCAGCCACGAAAATTGAATAATTCCAAATATTTAGAATTTTCACCACCAAGAATGGCGGTGACAGCATTTTTAACAGTAAGGCGATGTTTCGTATTGTATTAGCTATGTCCTCCCAAATTTGTTTAGTGGATCAGATCGTGGACCATTATCCGAAAGCCAAGCAACTCGTCTTCAAACGAGGAAGAGCGACAACCCAAGCGTCCGTTGCGATTGGTGTTAAGGAGGAGACATATGACAATCCCGATCGCCTCTTAGCAGGGGAGCAGGCGAGTGACCACCCGGCATCGCAGGCGAAAACAGAGGATTTTGGTACCGTCATTCAACCTAGCAGCAGATGTATGGAGGTGCAAGACCGCCTCAACGTGCCGCCGCCAGGGTACAAATATAGAAATCAAATGAACGGAAGATTGCGATCAAGTTCTAATGTCTCACAATCAGTAGGTGTTGATTATTTATTATCAGAACAAGTTAGGAGAACACTTATAAAATATCTAATGAGGACAATGATTATGAGTATTTTGAGCTTTAAAGTGATTCGACATTGTAACGGATAAGCATAAAAATTGTTTGATATATCTAGTATTATTTAAATATGATAAAAATTAAACGTATCTGTCTGTCCTAACCGAATCATTTGTATCATAAAGTTCACCGCTGCCAGTACAAGGAATACCTACAAAAAAAAATGAAGACGGTATTAATAATATCTGTAATATTCTTCTTCGGTGGTACTGATTGTAGAACTCGTTCTTTTCATGTTTTAAAACATAATCCTCCACCTCCAAAAGGAGCCCTAAAAAGCAGTGTTTATGTGTCACAAGCATATTTCACCCAAAAACTGGACCACGAATCGAACGATGAGACTACTTGGTCACAGGTATGTATTTTGAAAAATATGTATAATTAATTACACTAATATACAGGGTGTCCCATTTTAATGTCCCACCCCAAATATCTCGAAACCCGAGCAGAATGAGGA